CCCAATGAACATGAGATTCTTCATCATCGACTCCGATAAAAGAAATCGCCAATTCAGGTCGCACCGAACCGTCGGTCTCGTGGCCGGTTTCGCAGCCAGCGAATGTCCCTCGACACCACATTCTTTCCTTTCAGTCTCGTTCGTCTCTCACATTCGTTCCTTTCAGAGCGAGTATGTGGAGCCAGCACGGGTCGGGGCGATTGTGAGCCTCTATGGAGCTCAGTCACGTACGGTACGCGTGACGCGCGGCCGCCCTCGTCGACTTCGCACTTGCAGTCCGCCAACCTCAACCGACATGTGTTCCCAACGGTCGCTGTCGCTACAAGGCGGTGGCATCAGCAAAGCGCGAGAAGGACGCGGAGTATGGATCTGCACCGATTCTTATTTCTCGACGATTGATCGTGCTGCCTTCCGGGTCAGTCAACAGAAAAGTGCGCTCAATCAGCGGTAGAGCTCCCGGAGGTCGAGGAGCCTCGTGCACCTGCGGGAGGATGTTCGCGGGAAAGGGGGACAGCTTCGAAGTAGAGATTCGCGGATTCTTCGTGATCGCGAAGATGGATTTTGAGCTACTTCCAGGTGGACGGCTTTTTTCCGGGAAAAAATTGAAAGATCCGGTTTCAAGGCCACACGGTGTCGCATGAGCGAACCCTGCATTTTCCTGCCAAGAAATCATATCAGAAGAGCCCGGATCCACCCGTGAAAGCGGCGAAATTATCTGACGATCGCCGGGCGTCCGAGTCTACGCCGCGGCGTAGACCATCAAATAGGACCAGATATAGGAACATGCTGTATCTCTCATTCTGTGTACTTTCTCAGACTGTATTAGGAGAATCTCGCGATCCTTCACTCATCACCGTGATGAATGATGGATCGATTCAGGAATCATCATGAATAAAGGCCGTTATGTCGACCCAGGAAGCGGGGCACAGGGCGAACTCTTGTGATTTCCCCATCCTCTAGAATCTAGACCTAAACTTCCCGGCTCGTACATAGGATCCCAGATCCTCGAAATCCGCGGAGAGTCTGGAACCTCATACAGACACCGACCCTGGTCACTGGCAGGGCGTTCAAGCTCTAACATTGTGGAAGACGTTCTTCATCCCTGGTCATTACCGCACTGCCGTGCAGCGAAGGCATTGATTTAGGGCCAACGACTAATCGTTGACCATGAAATACTGTTCTCATGGGTGTTCGAGAATGCGGAGACCTTCCCGACTCGAGAAGTGCGGCTAGGGTGTGGGAGGACTGCCTTGAGAGTTCGTTGAACCGTGACCCTGTGATTGTTGCTGCAGATCAGCAGACCCTCCAGCTCACGGAGGGAAAAAAAGCTGCAGGTTCGACGGCTGGAACTTCAGAATCTGAGTTCGGGGTCGAGAATCCAGAAGGAGCGGGCGCCGACTGCCGAGAGCGACTGAATGGAGCGCGGAATGGAGCGCAGGTAGGAGAGTGAAATTTCCGATGCGTCTACAAATGAGATGATGAGTCCTTTCTGAGGATGCGAGGAGTAAGTTTTCCCGGCATCTTTAGGGGTGCAAGATAAGCGATAACGACGGTTACGATGAGAAAGCTCGACTTTCAAAAGAGTTGCCTGCGCGAAGAGCACGTGAAAGAGCCAAAGCCACGACTCGACTATCTTGGCGACCGTGACATATTTCGGGCGAGTTCTGAACCAGAGTCTGGGTTCACTCTCTGCAACAAGGACCATTCGCTTGCCTACTTGCCAGTCTGAGGTTTCTCACCCTCGCCGCCTCTCGGGTCCTCTCAGAGAGTACGAATCAACACCGGGCATCAGTGTCAACAACATCCGCCCGTCGTGCAGTAGAGCGTTTGAGATCGCCGGGTGAGTTCCTCAAGCATGAATCTCTAAGGCACGACGACTTTTTCTTTCGGGCTGAAGCTCTTCAATTCTTCCCAGTCCTTCCTCGTGGGTTGAGTTATCGAGCCCGAGCCAATAAAACGAAGATTCAAGCTCTCGATACTGAAGGCGCCCCGGAAATAAGGGGAGAGCCATTTTTCGGAAACCTAGGGACGCTTCCGTCAGATCCGACTAGGGCTGACTGAGCTCGGCCTGCTCGGAGCGTCAAGAAAAAGCCTCTTTTCCGAAGGAGCGGTCTCTTATGTCTCCATGGAATCTTCGTTCGCGCTCAGAAGTCAAATTTCCCTGACCCGAAAAGCATCGGAGTTATTTATATATGCCTGCCCAAATGAGTCGTAGAGAATGTGTCCATCAACGCGAGTTTATTATTAGAACATCAGCCTTGAAGTCCTGGAAACTTGCTCGAGCTCTAACGCATTCATATTTAACTGAAATTCGCCCCAAGAGGCTCTCATGTTCATCGATTGTACCGATGTCGAGACAGCCAAGGGAATTACGCTAAGTCAATTACTAAATTGTTTAACTGCTAAGTCAATTCACTAGAGGCCGAGACTGTGATGCGATGAGCCAGGGCGGAGCACCGGAATGGGGCGAAAGCGTTCGCAAAAAAATGCAGGTTTCACACTCCCAGGGAAAAAGCTATTCATTTCGGGAACCCTCTTTCTCTTCTTGGGTTTGCTCGTGGGAACGAGGCAACTCAGGGAATTCGGCCCTACAACGGGTAGATGGACTTTCACTCGCTCGACGCACTGCGCTCTCCGACTGTCCGAAATGCTTTTCGAAAATCGTCGGGCCCAAAGAATCGATCTTATCCGAATTCTCTCCCCGGGTAGAATCTCGGAACGAAATCTCCAACATCTTCTCAGTCCGGCACCCTTGATTGATGGGGCTCGTCGAAACATTTAAGGGTCGTTCAGGAACATTCCGACCGGGGTCTCGTTCGCCTCATGAGGTCCTGGGCGTGTTTGATGAACGACTCATCTGGATGCTTGCCCAGCTTTGTGTCACCTGAAACGCATTATCACGAGCCGATCAAGCCCTACATCAGCCCACAATCGAGAGAATCCTTGAGAAACTCCTCTGGCGCGAGCGACGGCTGTACGGTCGCTGACAGAGAGTCCTCGGGGTAACGATAAATCTCGACGGGAGCAGGATTTCATCGAGTACGAATGCGCCGCTGATGTTCGATCGGCTCGCTGGATCTACCCCTTCACACTTCTTCCTGCACTGCAGAATATCTCACAACGCGGATCCGATAGGCATATCGGTGAGATCCTAATAATTGCGAATACCATCAGTGCCTGCGGGAGATTGCTCGTCCGATACCCGGTTAGAGAAGAAAAAGACGACCAGGCGGTGATGGTAGGCTAAGGTGATCATGGACGCGCCTGCATCTCGGGATACGAAGTCGCTCGCCTTCTGAGAGGTGAAATCATCACCCTGCCCGTTCTCCAGCTATCCCCCGTTTTCGAATCGACGGAAACAAGCCGGGAGACCTGCTTTTGGGAACTTGAATCCTTCTTCAGAAGAAAGCGTTGCACTCGCTGCCAACCCCGAGTAAATCTCGTATGAGACCCTCTCAGATGATCGGACGTCTTGGGATGTCGAATCAACATTCGATTGAGGTGTTTGATGAGAAGAGCTATGAGTACACGAGGACAAAGGACGACGGCGACCTCGCATGTCAGATACAATTTACCTGGGTACGAGGAGACTCTTACGACATTGCATTGGAAGTTCCTAGCCTTCCCTGTCCTGAGACGTCAGGTCAGACGTGTGCGAGCCGCGAATCGTCCGAAACAATCGTTTGGAACCATCACACTAAATGCTCGTATCTTTCCTGCGCACCTCGCCGTACATCGCTTTGATGCCTTTTTGTGTGCGAAGGTCACTGACCGAGAGACACAGGGATGCTCTTCCGTGAGCAGGGAGCCCCGGAGAGCATCCTCGGGGTTGTGTACCGCCATGCACCGCTTTTATGACATCTGGGACCGAGAGTGGATGAGATCGCTCGCGTTCTAAACGCGAGCGATCTCAAGGGAAGGCTTTCCATCTCCAAGGGAATAATAGGGGAAGAATACCCGTCCCATGATCCTAGATACGAATGTCGCGTGTGTAATCCCCGTCCGAGAGAAGGTTCGCCAGATCGGAAAACTGGCCGGAAATGAATATAATCCAGCGCGCCTCGGATGAACGTGAATGAAAAAGTCGATTGCAACGCGAATCGGAGAGCAACAGTCTCGAATTCCGGAACTGAAGAGTAGGGAAACTCAGCGACGCGACGCTTGTTCCCGTGTATTCTCGACACAGTACATGCTCGAGGATGTAGAGATATAATCTGCGAGGTAGGTACATCGTTTTCTCATGAGTGCCTCTGCTCTCGCAAAGGGAAGCATCTTCACTTGTTTCCCGAATAGCTGAAACCCTCTTAGCGCGTAGTAGCGAACGACTGATGGCGATCAATCTGCTCATTCTGACTGCTCGAAGCGGAGGAATACCCACACCGAGCTCGTGACGCGATTGTCCGCTCGAATCGATGAGAGTGGTGAAATGTCAACATGACACATGCGATGAAGTCACGTCCGCCGTGAAGCTCGAAAACAAGAGGTTCGAACGCTTCCGACTAAGAATAGCGACGATCTCATTGAGCGCCCATTTGTTCTTCGCTGCTCTCTCGGAAGAATCGGCGAGCGTGAAGAAGTTAGCATCGACTCGGATGCTGAGTGCGCGTGGAAAATATGGGGGACTGTCAGCGGCTGGCTCGCTCTTCTTCAATCCCCGTCAAGTGTTTCACCTCTCCCTGGATGCCTCCGAGTCGTTGAGTGCAATCCCGTCGCCCGCTAATTCCACTCGACAGTTCTCAACTCCTTCCTGCTGAATGATTCGAAATTGAATTAGGTATCCCAGAAGCCTAGCTTGAGAACTCCGGCTTGCGGTGGCGTTCTCTATTTACTCAGTGGATAGAGTAGAGACGCGAGTTCTCTTGAATTTGAGAATTCGGCTCGTCGTTGTTGTCCTCGCTGAGTTCTTCTCGCGCGTGGCACTCATAACCTAGCCTTCCCTCTCCGATCTGCTCTTGCCGTGCTCGGATTGACTTTGGCAAAGTGTTCCGCATTTCATTTTGCTCGCTCCTTTACTCAGCGGATCGCTCTCGATGATAATCTCCAGGGCGCACTGCTAACTCGTGTATGTAGTTGCTGTTCCTATCTACGATATCACCGAGTCCCCTCCTCCGTTTGCAGAAGGTCAAGCGCGGCAGTGATGTGCGAGGCTACCATAGTTCTGCCTCGACCCAAACGACGCTCGTCGGTTCAGGTAGAGAAAAACATTGCGGAAAAGGTGAGTGTGTACTCATCCCATGGATCTCTGTCTTTCGAATCACCACAGACCAATGGCTGCTGTGGCATCGACTCCTGCCATCAATGGCGTTCTGATGGTCGAAGACGAATAAGCTTCTTATTGAAATCAGGTGTGTCTGACCATCGCTCATGATGAAGATGGTGTTCCAACGTCGCAATCGAAGAAAGAGAAACCTCCCCCGGAAACCGGACGGCTACAACGGTTGAAAGGTAAGTGAATCATGGAATCCACCATATGGCTTGATCTACGTGATTGGATGCTGACCACCGCATTCGGCAGTTGGTGTGCGGAAGGTACATGGGCGACACGACGTCTCTGGAACATTCTCGTAGAGCACGTAGCGTTCACGGAGACTGATGACGGGAACCGACCCTTCCTCACTTCGGCTACCAACGGAGCATCGCTCCCGTGGATTCGGCGATAGCGTACGCGGGTCTAACTCGTGATTATTTACACATCCGGAACCCTAACGGAAGACCTCGTGGGGAAGCCTCCCCCGCTCAAGTAGCCTCGGGCCTAGGGGTCTCGTCGCGCAGCTCGAATGCGAATGGGTTGCTTTCCCGCGCTAGATGGCGGAGAATCGATGGGGAGCGACGAAGTTCAGGCTTGTTTATCGTTCCCAAGTCTGTTCGCCACTTGGTATGCGGGAGAGGTCTAGAGTTCAAAGTCTCCGCTGCTTCCCAGAGCCCCGGCCAGAGCGCGGCCAGATTCCGGGGACCCCTTGTTTGTCTCTTCTGCTGGAGGTGATTCCATACTCCCGCGGAGTCGTGGGCGATGATCTGCTTCGGAATCTACAAGATTCACGATGGCTCGCTAACTCACATCATCAGGCTCTTTCTCACTCACTCGGAGACCAACATGAGACTGCTCCTGTTCAAATATAGATCCGGGAACTAGTCCATGAACTTTTTCCCTACGCAGAGGGGTTCCCGGAGGCATCCGAGAAGACGCACTGATAAATGGGATGACTGTGCCCCGGTCAAGGGCAGTTACTCAGTTATATTTATGTCCCTGAAACGCACTGTATGTGAACAAGCTTGGACTCGCCTGAGAGTCAAGGCCCTCCCAAATTATATTTTCTAATTCGAAGAGTTCAATCGTATTTTAAGTCTATCTCTAAGTCAATGATCCCGAGACAAGAAGACGTTTCCGCAGCGTCGATGACGCCTATCGTATTGACAGTGCAAGTCACACTGCCGCGGAGAGCTCTCCAAAGCTCTGTAAATTTTCGAAAAGCGAGCCTTGACAGGGTTGTTAGTTCAGTTGCGAAAGATACTCAAGCGATCGGTTTGTGACTGGTGCAGACAGCACGCGAAGGAGTTGCAGCGACGAGCTCTGTCGATTCGCCTGGAACTCTTCAGAGAATCAGCGAATTCGCTCGCTGCAACAACGTAGATGGGAGCTCTGGTCAGTAGTTCGCCGAAGCGCTGGCGTCACGGCAGAAATCAACATCGGGATAAGGGTGAGCAACAGCGTTTTCGGTCTGTGACTGGCGGACCAAATACTTTACTGTAAGCTGGCGGCATCGTTTATAAAGGAGTCTCGCACCTATACTCGTTCGAGGAAGTGTGTGTCGCTTGTTTTGGAGGGAACTGTTTATTTTCCCGATGTCCGCGAGATCTCCCGATCCGAAGAATTCGACGAGGCTTGAGCTTTGACGCTTGCATTCTTTGCGCAGCGTTTTTCCTCATGAGAATGATCGGATCTCTGGGGAAACGCCTATCCTAGGGTATGGCGGACGTTCCCGAGTAATGGGACTAGGCCCCAACATGCCGAGCTTCGGGAAGTCCCAGGGAGCGTCCTCGGTCGGAATGCGTTCCGTTGGCGGCCCGCTTCCGCCGAACTTGGCTTATCAGCGGAGCGCGACTGCGGTATAGAGCGTACGGCGAGATCTAGAGGCTGTCGGAACGATTCGCTGAAATCGATCGGGTGTTGCTGATATAGGAGCTGACGCACAATATTTAGTCGACCTGATCTGTTTACGCCAGCCTGAAAAACCCGGCGGATAGAAGATTGTATGAAGCTTGTTTGTATTTCGTCGCGCGGTCTCAGCTCTTCCTCCTTCCCTTGCCGAGAGCCCCGTTCGGATTTCACCAGACTAGAACTCAGGTTGAAGACCGAGACCGTGGTCGAGCAACGAATCGTGATGCGGCACTTATGCTGCTTTGGCTTTTCTAGAATGAAGCCAAACCGTGCCAGATCCGCCCGGCTGCGAGAAGAAGGTTAGGACCCCTGTGCATCATGCCCCTGATATTTCGGAAACTACCGAGGATGAGACTTTCTTGTCTGACGAGACCTAAGACCCGTCCGACTCCTATTCTCCGTATGTTCGGGGAGCTCCGTCGCCTCCCTGATCAAATATAATCTCTGTGCGCTTGGTGCGTTGTGTTCTCGGAGAAGCTGTGTCAGGCTACCATCAGAGTCTCATTCGGGACACTGACGGCAGTTCATGTTTCGTGGGAACTTCCCGCGGGCTCGGATGGATATGTATAATGGTACAACCGAATTCTCTCGAAAAATCGATTCATTGCATCGAGGATCGATCGAGTCCACGCAGTGCCTTGGCCAAGCTTTCAGTTCAGGCTCAATGGTCCTGATCCAGGAATGGTTCCATTCCGAAATCCCTGCGGAAATCTGAGCCCAGTTGTGTCACGTTGAAAAGATTTCTGCGCTCCGAGCATCTCCACGGAGTCGTTCGATTCTCGTTCCGGATTCTCGTGGTCATGACTTTTGCTCCCACGACTGACAAATAACTGCCGACCCGGAGGAGATAGCTGGCGGTCACTTGGCTTTCGATCCCATCAGGTGAAGTCCCATAACCCTATATCGGCTTCACGAAGTCTCGCGCTTCCAATTTCAGAGCTCCATATGGCCTTCAACATGCTGGATGCGAACAACGACGGGCGAGTTTCCCTGGAAGAAATTTCAGTGATGCTCACGAAAATGGGATTCGACATTCCCCGCGAAGCTCTAGATCTGTTGATGCAGGACAAATCTTCAACAAGCTCCGATCAGGTACGGGATAAATTCGACCTCGCAGGAATTTCTCCATGGGGCTGATGTAATCGATGGATCCACGCGTAGCCGATATACTGACGACAGACGAGTAAAATTCCCCTTTTCCCGCCGTATCAGGTGAGCTTGAGCGAGTTCGAATTCTTACAATGGATCGACGACTACCTCATGAAGGACGATAGCGGTAATCCTGAGGATGCGGATCAGGACATGATTGCAGCGTTCAGAGTAAGATCATCCCCTGTACCCCGTCGAGCGAGTTACCTGGCTCGTCGCTCGTGGCGGACTTCCCGGTTCGGGAATTATCAGCCCGAGCGCGAGTCTTGCTCCCATAGTAATGAATTCCATGGAGGAACAAGGTGCTCATGATGAAAATACCGAGCGTTCCGATTCCACAGATCTTCGATTCCGACGGCGATGGCTACATCACCCGAACCGAGTTGCGGCGGGCCATGGAGACCATCGGAGAGAAGATATCAGAAAAAGAACTCGACGAAATCTTACTTCACACCGATATCGATCGTGACGGACGGATCAATTATCAAGGTAAATAACCGAGCCCGCGGGTCGATGACACAATTCAGCCTAAGCTGGCTCACCGACTCAGAGTCGAGTGCCTACTCGCTAGACGTCTCGCTTAAATAGATCTCTCCAGATGTCCTAGGGAGAAACCAGTTGAGCCATTACGTAACGAAAGCTGTTTCGCAGAGTTCTTGGCCGCCTTGACGTAACAGGACAAGCAAGTGATCTTCGCATGGAGACCGACTGCGTGAGGAAGCGGGGCTCGGATCTCCTGCATAAATTGCCATGAAAGTGTTAATATTGTACAGCCGGCTAGGCCGGAAGCTGAGACTCGCCGGCTAGTGCTGGCGGGTTAATCACTAGCTGTCGAGACCATGAAATCCGTCATTTCTTTATTTGTACCCTTTTTAGGTATGTAATGCGTGAGGTTCTCTCGGATTGACATCTCTTAGCGTCTTATACGCACACCGTCGAGGGTACAGGTCGCTAAACCCGCTCGGGTCAGCTACATGTTTGTAAAATCATTATACATATGGGAGCGCAAATTCAGAAGAGAGCGCTCCGCTCCGTTCCTGATTTCGTACAGAAAACTGTCACAGCTTGACGACGTGAATAAATCATCAGAAGCTTAATCTATACATTGACTCCTCTGAATTTGGACTACCGTGATATTTTGCCGTTAACGTATCGAACATGTTGGAGATGAGGAGAGTCATCGGATGGAACGTGAATTGGCCTGCCGTCTAGCTAAATTCAAGCGAAGCGAAGAGTGAAACATCCATGGATTTACTTGTAGGGAAGCTGGAAGCTCCTACACTCAATGTATTCGAAGCCTTGGAGCCTACCGCCGGGAATCCCTCATTGTTCCCGACAACAGGTGGGCGAGAGAGACAGCCCATCGGGAGTATATTCCGAGGCTCTTCGCGAAACGTGAGCCTCGGCTGCATCGGGAGCAGGGTGATAGATAAGTGGCTCCATCATGGATAATTTTTTCCCTCTCCTTTCGCTCGGCATCTCGGAGGGCATCTTTTCCTTCCTCAGCCCTCCGCCGGGGCATGTATCGCGACGGGGACAGCTTCCTGGCTATTTGATAGAGGCGCTGCGTGTCCCTTTCCCTCCCGAGCATTCCCCTTTCTTCTAGCTCCACGGCCAGGTTGAATGGCGCTACTCTTACCAGTGACACTCGCCTCCCTCTGCGGTCCGCGTGTCTTCCAGTGTATTCCAACAGTTCGTCACTCTGAAATCTCGGTGGTCTCTCGTCCCGGAGTGAGCCTTGAGCTTCAATCAAGCGATGCCAGCAGACAATCCTGTTATCGTCATCGGAGCCGGCGTCAGCGGTGAGCGCGCGCGAAACATTGACGCTGATGTTTGCATCATTCAGTGCTTTTTCCGAGAGAATTCACGCAGAACGCGAGGTCTCCCTCCAGCATACTCGGACATTCCTGGGAGCAATTATTCACAGAATTCAGATCGGACTCTTAGAGGGAGCATCATATCCAGTGACCGCCTCGAAGTTTCCCGAGAGTGGGGTGACTGCGATTAGTCTGGCGCTTGTTCTATTTTCCCTCTGGCTCGTTAAGGAGTCCTGGAGTAGGTAATTGAAAAGCGTGATCGCGATAGGGTACGGGGTACGGCAAACTATTAGTATGCTCGAAACTAACGCGGGAGACGGATGAGCGAAAGCTTCGTACCTGCGGTGATCGATCCGCCCCTCAATAGGTTTGCAGAGAAGGATCCTTCCACGATACTCCGCCGTATTTTCCAATTCCTCCGCGATCGCCAAAGAATGTCTCGACGCCCGAAATGTATCCCGGCGAAGTTATCGCGCGCCTGCGACCGATTTTGTGGTCATCGATCGATCGTCGTATCTGATTGGCCAGAGGCAGCTGAATAGGTTTTGCTGAGCGGGACAACGGTATTCCGTCTTGATGTTTCCGGGGAGCGTCCTTGAGACCGCTTTCGAACCGCTCGTTACGTGAGTTATGAAGAAAGAGCGCTCTGTTTTGGAATACAGAGGTCAAAAGTCGCCTCCCCTGCAAGCGTCCGCTCACAACTCGGCCACCGAACACCATTGACTCCTTGTCACGCTCACCACCGGGATCTGAGATTGATTGAGTCTTCCAATAAACTCGGTGAGACTGCAGATCGTTGACTTCGGCCTCGAAGTGTATCAGTGATACTCGGTGTGGGTTATGCTCATTCTATCCGACATTGGAATGGACCAGTCAGAAAGGGAGACTATTCGAGCGCGGGACCTCTACCAACAAGGGAGACCGGATACAGTACAATGGGGTACTGTGTCTTCCGAGGACGACCTCTTCGAGGTCTATTCAAGGAGCTCACTAGATTTCTCAAAGTTCCGAATCCTCTCTCCCGACTTGCAAGGCAACTGCTCCCAGTGCGATTCACGAACTGCAGTCGAGCACCAACCCCAAATCGCATGAAATTCCTTCACTTTGCCAAAGACGAAGAATGCTTCCGCGAAGATAAGAAAACGTCAGCCGGTTTCTTTCATGGCGTTATCGGCCGTCCGGCTTTATATCACAGCCGCATTCAAATCTTCGCAACGTCACGTAGACGCCCGTTCCCGTTCGATTCAAGTCCGCTAGATGGTTTGCAGGGGCCTTCCCTCGTGGTAAGGGAGCAATGTCCAGTCTTCCTTCTGGCTCCCAAGGGATTCGTTTCCAAACAACTGGTAATGCTTCTTGCGCTGTTTAGCTCAGATGAGATCAATGCGTCGAGCAGTGGTTCCTCGGGATCTGAACAGAACGGAGAAGGAAGCTTTCTGCGGCCTGCCAAGACGTCGTCTTGAAGGTCCAACCTGGACTGGGGAATAACTGACGGCCGTATATCGACATATTTGACCATAGCATGTCGAAGATCTCAATGATTACCGCGATGTCTCGCGATGTCTCACGATAGACCTCACGATCGACCCTCTCCTCTAAGTTGTTTCCGGAAAAACGCTTCTACCCGTTCCGATGAACGATTATCCTCGAGTCGTTCCCTCTAAGCGAATCGTGACTTTACGGTTAAGTTAAGACCATAAGAAAAGTCTGAGACGTCCAAAGCGCCAATGCGACCTCTCCTAGATCATAAAGCCCGAGATATAGAACGAAAGCGATATGTATAACTTCCACGAAGCTCGAAGTCGCTCCCAATCGAGAGTGTTCTGTAAATATGTTGTCTCGAATTTCCGACACGAGGATCATTGGCCGCTACTGCTAAGGGAGCGCCGGGGAGCAGGATTTTCGTCCGCAACAGTATTTTTCCCATAGCTCATGTTACGGTCGGACTTCTGGGGTTTGATATCGAGTGAAAGACGATTGAGGGATTCAATCCAAGGGACGAACAGCGGAAATTCGGGCCAGGTGTGGAGACCGCGGAGTCCACAGAGGCGGCCCGGTAGGAGAGCGGCGGAAGCCGTATAGCATGGGATTGCGTGCTACGGAGTTCATGGAGGGCCGATGTCAATGAGATCCCGTGCCGATTATGGCAGCGACGCGCGAACTATCGGCGTAGAGAGCAGCGGTTTGCAGAAAGGATACGATATCCATCTTGGATCATGACGGGAGCTCTGAGACGAGGACTTTGCCATTCGTCCCACGCATCCTACCAAGAGATTCGTATATCCACGGAAAGATAACCGGGCAGGATGGTCGGGGAGAGGCACGCGCTGCTTCTTGTGCCTCGATAAATAGTTTCGTCGATTCGGGGAATGCGACTGACCAGCAAGATTATATTATTCTTTCGCAGGTTTGGCCGCGGCTAGAGAATGTCTGAAACGAGGCCAAGAAGTTATTGTACTCGAAGCGCGGGACCGAGTTGGAGGGAGAACATTCACCCAACAGGTACTCCTTGATGAGAACCCGACAAGGAGCGATAAGAGCTCAGCAGGAGCTTCATGATTACCCACTAGTTAGCATCGACTAAGTCGACCCCTAAAACTTCAGGGAGACCAATATGGCTACGTGGACATTGGCGGGGCTTATGTCGGTGCAACCCAAAACTACCTACTGAGGACGCTACAGGAGCTCAACCTGGCTGATAAATTATACAGAATCTACGTGGAAAACGACTTCGTTTTCCTTAGCAATGTAAGGGGCCCACGGGATTGCAGGATTGGGTACAGAAACGCGCCCCGTGCTTCATACATTTACTTATGAATTTGCTCTGCAGAGAGTCGTTACCGCATAGACATATGTACACGTGTATGAAGGTAGAAATATTTCAGGGAAAACGCTACCTGTTCCCAGCGGAAGACTTCCCCCATTTCTGGAATCCGTTCGCTGAAATGGACGTGAATAACTTGTTCCGGACCATGGATGACATGGGCAAGGAAATCCCCAGCGAAGATCCTTGGAACGCTCCCCACGCGGAAGAATGGGATAAAATGACCTTCAAGGAATTCATCGATCAGACCTGCTGGACGAAGTGAGCTCAGTCGCCGGCACCAACCTGTTAATCCCGGGCATGAAGCTATCAACTGTAAGTTTGAGCGCATTAATTCAAGTGAGCCGATTGCAGGGCTGCCCGTGAGTTTGCCGAATTCTTCGTTCAGATCAACGTTACCTCTGAGGCTTATGAATCTTCCTTGCTCTGGTTCCTGTGGTATGTCAAGCAGTGCGGAGGCGTCAAACGTATCGTCTCTGTGAAGGTAAATTCCCATAGGTCCTCACGTTTCCCTGATTCGATTGCGAATGTTGGAAAACCCGGAAGGAACCAGATTTGACCAGTCCAGATCAGCCGTACCCACGAACTTCATTCCAGGGTGGAGGCCAAGAGATGAAGATGAAGGGAGGAATGCAGCAGCTCAGTGAAAAAATGTCCAAATCTCTGGAAGGTAATGCTATTCATCCCCTCAGATCGAATCGAAGCGAGCGGGCAAGCAGACAAATAATTTGCGAATTGAGTCCATGCATCAACTATTGAGCAGATCGTGTTCGTCTCGGACACCCAGTCACCTCAGTTGAGCAGACCGGCGAAGGCGTCGTCGTTCGCTGTGTCAATGGGGAGTCCTTCCACGGGTCCCACGTGATCTTGGCCATGGCCCCGCCGATGCAGATGAAGATACATTTCTCACCTTCTCTCGGTGCTCTCCGAAACCAGCTGAACCAGAGGATGCCGATGGGATCCGTCTGGAAGCTTCAAGTGTACTACAAGGTACCGATCAGACTAGGCGAGCTTTCATCGGTGCGGGGAATCCCGATCGGTGTCTCGTGGCACTCGATCGATTGGTTCGGATCGACTTCTGAGCTGGATGCCCGCTTTTTCTCATTGCTTCTCTATCTCGCTCAGACCCCATTCTGGAGGGACATGGGATATTCTGGATCTGTTCTGACGACTCCCTCTGAAGAATACTCTCCGGTTACTTACACCGTCGACGACACCAAGCCCGACGGCAAGTACCCATCCATCATCGGTTTCATGCCGGGCGATCGCGCCCGGAAACTCCTGGCCCTTACTCCACAGCAACGATGCGACATGCTCAAGGAAACTTACAACAGAGCCTTCAAGACCACGAAAGCGAACGATGTGAGTGCTTGGCTGCAAGGATTCAAGTCCTAGCTGAACTCAGCTTAAGAATTGGCCGTGTAGAGTTTCATGATATACCTCATCTCGAATTCTGAAGGAGATCATGCTCTAGTACTGAGGAAAAATTCCCACAGGTCGTCCACTACATCGAGCACAATTGGATGGAAGAGGAGTACACCGGCGGATGCTACACTTGCATGATGCCGCCAGGGCTGCTAACTACCTTCCGAGAGTGAGATAGGCGTATATTGCAGAAAAATCCTACAAAACGCCCTTGGCTGTCATCTTGAATGTCGAGTCCGGTCCTCAGAGTGACCAATATTTAAATCTTTCCAGCACACTCCGCAAGCCAGTGGGAAGAGTCCACTTCGCGGGAACGGAGACCGCTTGGGAATGGTCGGGATATCTCAACGGAGCCATCATGGCGGGCGAACGGGCTGCGAAAGAGATTCTGCACAATCTCGGTCGCATTGACAAAGCTACGAGAGACGCTCCCGAGCCCGAGAATCACGTACGTTCTCCGGAGCCGCACCTCGCAGGGGAAGATTTGAGATGCACCGAATATGACGCGGAATTCAAACTCAATGATGATTCTTTCGCAGCTCATTCCGATCGAAGACTTCAGTAACACCTTCTACGAGACGTATCTCCCATCGGTACCGGCGTTCCTGAAAATCGCCGGCGTCGCAACCGTGGCCGGAGCGATGCTCTATGTACATACGAGGGAATCGGGACCTTGTATCTTCCTCAATCTCCTCAGATTCGGCAAGTTCGGGCAGTAAGCTCTAGTCGTGATCGATTTCCCCGGAGAGAGATGGCGCCAGATCTCCGGTTGCTCAATATTTTTTCATGTTCTGCGATGAAGCGTTGAGTCGCGAGCTCAGCATGCTCCATCGGAGGGGAGTAAATTGTTCTGATTGGATGCTTCGAAATAAAAAGAAAAAGCGCACAGATTCCTGTTTTTTATAAGCTGAATATGCAGGCTCCTGTCGAATATCTCCATTTTCCCCGGATGGGGTTGGGTTGTCGGATTCCACCTCCTTATATACCCGCTTGAGCCATCATTCCTATTTTATTCTCCAACTTCTTCATCGATCTTCTCATGATCGAGGTGAACAGGAGCACAGGAATGGAATCGAGGAGTAGGGACTGAGTGTCGAGGGCTGAGCTGTCGGAAACACTTCTCCGACCGCACAATTACTCGCCGGGAAGATGCTCTTTCCGATGGCCCTGAAATCATTTAAGACTCGGAGAAGATTGTTCTGATTGTCACTGGGACGATTTGCCTCTCCAAGTGCGCCAGCGACAGAAGCTGCTGAGTACCAGCGGAACGGCGTTCTTACGCGCACAGTGAACCCATAGCCCCGGTGTCAAGCGCCCCAGGATCAGCGGTAACGATGGCCTGACGTCATCAGAAGTGGCGAGGGTCAGTTGAGCAACATCGCAGCCTGACGTGAGCGAGCGCCAAACCAGATGGTCAACATTGCAGCGAGGAACGTGAACGGGAATCCGTTTCTTCGAGTCGTTCTTCATTTCGCGGTGCCAGCTCAGCGCCCCATGGATACAAGAGGTTCGTTCCAAGGCTCAGGACGCTGAATGAAGTTCGCAATCGTGTCATGATTCCATGGGCCTCGAGATGCGGTCCAAGATGCACTACGCCGGACTGCATCCGCCCTGAGCCGTGGCTGAAAGTTTCGGATTCCTTAAAATTCAGGTTTCCCTGGGCTGTCCATTCTTGTGATGAGAGCTCCCTTAATCTCAGAGAGCCGGGAATTCCTCTGAGCTGAGAGGGAAACAGCGCAGGTTAGGAATTCGAATGGGCCAGATACCGTGGACGCTGTTTGACAGTGCGCTTCACGATCACTGCTTGGAGGAGTTCGACTGAAGCTCAGAATCGACTCGTCCGTTCATTCGACTCGTGCGACATTCTGTAGTCGATCTCGCGGGTCTCTGGATTACCTCCGGTAGTGTTCAGGGTCCTCGTGAATCTTTAGTCTCTCCCGATGAACTCCCCGGCAAATCGTCGAGAAGTCCGATCTAACTACATCTTGAAAATGAGCGAATCACTCATTCACTGCTAGTCCGGATGGAGCAGCTGTACTCTCCACTCTATCGATGTTCTCGGAAGTTCTCTGATTCACAGAGCGTTATGAGCCGCACTCTTCGGCCGAGTCGCGCGTTTCGAACTGCCACCGCCTTTTCTGCTCCTCGTTAGCATGAGCGACGTCGAATTCTCTGATGGTGCGGAACGGAGCTGTTCGTCTTGTTATTTCAGTACCGATTGTTTTTTATCACTTTTCCAAACTCGCTCCTCGGGATCACGAGGGAGTCGCGTGTGTTTCCCGTAATGAGTGTTTCCCCGTTGCTAGGCAATGCTTTCGGCGCATTCTTTTCTTCACTAAGCGAACTGGGCCGCCGATTTAAGCGGTAGGCGGTGGTCACTGCGAATGATGTGATCCGGGAAAAAACTCCTGTGCGGAGAAAATATTAAGGAATTGGAATTTTCGATTGAGGTTGTGGTCTCCACAGGCTCAAGGAGTCCAACACTGGCGTGTGCTCAGGAACTCTGACGCTCGATCGAGACCGTGAGCTCCCTCTCGGAGCCAGCATTCGGGGGACAAAATGACATTCGAAGACGATCACAGTGCGCTCAATGAGCTGGTCGGAGGATTCAGTAATTATCATGGTGAGTTTGCGAGGGGGTACCTCAATCTAGAAAAATCAGTCAGCCCTTTGGGTAGCAGATAATTGCATTGTGTTCCCGTCGATCACGGAATGACTCAATTCTTCAAGTGCTGTTGTTCGTCATGATCGCTTTTCGGGCGGTACCCTCCGGATGGAATGAGCTCCTCGTGCACCTAGTTACTCCGAAGCTTCAGCATTGGTGCGCACCTTACTCCGGCTTCAACCAGGTCAGCTACTGATGAGAGACTGAACCAGCTCATCCTCATTGGATTAAATGATATAACCTTCCTCTTGACTTCCAGACTTCGTGGAAGAGTTATGCTATACCAGCTGATCCCTTTGGTGGACTCGAGCAGTGTACTCAGTACCACCTGGATTCATTCTATCGGTAAAGGATGATATGAGATTCACTTCGAAGATCTCACTTCACTCGTATTTTTCGCCCGGTGGAGGCCTGAGAGCCATGCGACGATCCTCTGATCTCGTTCCGGTACGGAACATTGATCCGAAAGGGATCCGGGAAAAGATGATGATGAACTTTTTTTTCAGTTATGGCCATTTCCATTATCCGGACCGATACGCGCCACGGACCGAATGTCGAAACGGGAGAAGTTTCGAATATTTTGTGCTGGGGAACACAGCAACAGCCTCCTTCGACTTGGCTTGTGAATCAGCCTGGCTGAGGTCCGAAGCGTGACATATTCTCGATCCATTCGCCCCGGGAAAGCTCGAGGCATGTGTGTCATCGCGGGAGGATTCTACCCTACAATTTACCTTGCAGGGAATTGCTCGTTACCGCCGACGCGCTCGGAGCTATTGCAGGTTTCCTCATTTTCGGACGCTTGAGCGATCGGCATGGCAGGAGGAAGGTTTTATTGTCGTGCGCTGTTTGTACTGTGCTGTTCGCCTTGCTGGACGCCTTCAGTCCTGTATACACCGTATTCCTGATCGGCAGACTCTTTCTGGGAGCTTTCGATGCGGGAATTTTCGTTTCCAGCTTGGTCCTATTCATCGGTATGTCGCTTCTCGCTTTGGTCCAGAGCTCTAGATCCCGCAACGACTGCACATAAGAGCCGTTTCTCTGAGGGAATTATTTTTCCAGAGTTGATACCGCCTCATTTGCGCTCGTATGTGAACGTAGGCGTAGGACTCGCGTTCACGCTGCCCATGCCAATATTGGGTTTGCTCGCGTGGCTCATCCAAGATTTCCGGTTTGTCGCACACTTTTTTCTTGTGGAGCTAATCGTGAAAATTATTTTCTGCGAGATACATCCACGACTAAGCGAAGGCTTGCAGAATTTAGCCCCCGCTCGGTTTCAGATATTTGCATCTTTGCCTGGCATTGGCTTATACTGCCTTCGTGTTCGTTGTTCCCTTGGTGAAAGAATCTCCGAGATGGTTAATCTCGCAGGGCTACAGCACAGAAGCACAAGAGTCGCTGGAAGCAATAATTAAATTCAACGGCCGTCGACCACCGAATCCATCCAGGGTAAGTCATCAATGGAAACGGGAATGGAGGAATCAACGATCCAAAGGAGCATTTCGTGACATCTGGCACCGCACCTCACAGTCATTATTGGTATACTTTGCAGCTCATCGAAATCCTCGAAGAGAAGCGACCCGTCCCCGATGTCAGCGTGCAATCGACCCAAACTCTCCTATTGTCCGGAATATTGTCAGCCTCTGCGTTGGCCCTGAGCACAGACTTCCTATCGATACATCGCGCAAGCGATCCTGACAGGTGGGCTATTGGGGGGGGGGGGCAAGGAGCTGTTTCCCGATCGGTATTTCTTCAACTCATCGCCTCAATGTCTTGTAGCACGCTCCGACACGATGACCCCTACGCAAGGTATCATGGCTACTCGGAGTTCTACGCCGGCTATCCTAAGTCTGGCTACCGGATCAACTCGGCGCTACTTTGGTTTTTCATATGTAACTGTTTCGCCGAAGTCATAGGATCGATATTGGGCATCGCAGCGAACCATTTCTTCAATCGGTGAGTTGCTCGAGACCCTTCAGGGAGGCATTGATTCAGGAGCTTCTCAAGCGATAGATCCGACTTCCCTTTGCAGTCGAATCACACAGTGGATTGCTGTAGCCGCAGCTGCCTGCTGTTTCATTCTGTGCTGTGCGCTCTTGTTCGGGAAGGGACGGTACTGGTTTCTCATCCTGGCTCTATTCCCAAGGTTCGACACGTTTCAATTCGACTCGAGCATTTTTCTACGGTGATGTCAATTTGTCTCGGGATTTACCCAGTCGTTCCTCCTCAGGCTAGCTCTCCATGTCGCTAGATACACGGGAATTCTCGTCGTGACTGAAACCGCTCCCACAGCAAAACGGTGAGTGAAAACCTCTCGACCGGCGAAACGGTACATTTGAGTAGAAACGGAGCAGCTTCTTATCCCATTGGGCTTCAGCGGCGGTACGGATTAGTGGCAGAGTCCGACAATAAGTTTGGTGCAATAAGCTTCCTCAAGTCGAGCCCTGTATCTTACAGATGTTCCGTTGTTGGCATAGCTCTGGCTTGTGCTACTCTAGTTCGTGCACTATCGTTCGGACTCTTAGCCTTGGGAGCATCTGAGAGTGGAGTTCTACCCATCTGTGCCATGTCGATCGCTGCGCTCGCAGGGTTGGTTTGGTTCAGCAGAGAAACGAAGAATCTGCCTCTGCCGGACTCGTGGGAAGAAACCGCTGAGTGACTTGATCTCAACACGTCACCGATACGCTGGCGATCCGAGCAGCCCGTGCAGGTCCCGAGGACAGTGACTCCCCACCTACTTCAATTATCCCGACTTCGCGCTGAATTTGAGATTCACTGGAGAAAGAAATCCATCTGAAGGATCTCCTTGGATCGGACCCCGCTAGACTCCGTGATTCAACGAGGGCTTGATCATTTCCCTGACATCATCAGCCCTGAGTTCTTCCAGAATTTTCGGCCAGTGGGAAATAAAAGGTCTCCACTTACTCATGTAGAAACAAGAAGGCAGCGGAAGACAGTGCCTGGCCAAGAGGATTTCCATCCGTGACTGGGATGCGACTGATCATGATGATCGAATGTACGCCACCACTGTATATAATACTCTTGTCCCTGTGGAAAATATCCGTGGTTTGACCTCGACATCTTTTCATGGGTTCATAAGGACATTGACCCCTCGCTGGTGTTAATTTTTCGTTTTTTAACCATCATCAAAATGAGTCGGTCAATTATACTCGCACAATGGAGCCCCTCCGTATTAGATGTAATTATGATGAACCGGAAGCTTCTCTCGAGCTGAAATCCCGTCAAGACTTTCTGACGCGGGCTCAGAATTATCTGGTCGGACATGAGAGGTTCAAATGAGGATTCCATCCCGATACCATCCCTTGTAGAGAGAAATAAAATATTCCATGTTTCTTTCTTTTTTTTCCATGTTTCTGATTTTCTCTAGTATCTAATTTGAGGCTCAATTTCGGTCTGATCGGATTTTGAAACGGGAGAAGAACCCGGCCTCACGACGTGGGTGGCTCTATTCGTCTCGGCGGCCCACGAAAGGATCCCCGGGGTCGACAGCCATCATTTCTTCATTCAGCCTCTAAAACCGAAGTCGCGCAGACGTGCATTCGAGTTCCTCGAAGAATGTCTTCCAGCCGGATGAGTCGACTCCGGATTCCGGATCCTCGTGTAGGCAGTGCTGGTGCGAGCGCCACAGATTGTAGGTCTCGAAGAGATACGATATTATAAGCATTCCTTAAAGATTCTGCATCTAAGGATCAGGCAGAATTCCCCTCATCATCGGATACTCCTTTTCTCATCCTCCTCATCCTTCGTATTTGGTCGACAGGCGACCCTTCCTGCTATTGGAATCTCATCGTCAGGCGGAGAATAATCGCCGGAGTCAGCCTTCCCTCCAGGCTCATGTTTGCGGGTTCGTATGGGCTGCTCTTAGGTGCCGATTGTCAAAAGATACACGTCCGGCTTTTCGTTCTCCGAAAACCTCCTCCAGCCTTTATTGTCATGATGATGATTTCGAAATTCATCGAAGTTTCTTCCAGTGACGTTTACAAATGGGATTCCGGGAAACCGAACCCTTCATGAAAAGCGAGTCCTTGAATGTAATGTAAAACACATGAGAATCCGCAAGGGGAATAAAAACTCGTCGAACCCTTTCAGTGAGTTCTTCGGACGGCCTCGCGGCAGAAGCGCCCCAGCGGGAAAGCAGGTCGACCACGACATGCGCAAAATATCTCACTAATTGTAAGCTCGTCCGTGCATCGAAGCATTCGCGAGCGAGCCCTTCAGAATAAAAATGTAGGTAAATCTTCTCGCCGCGGAGCGACAGCTCGCTTCTGGCGTTCATTTTCATGTCGACGCGAAGCTTCTCAAAACTCGTAGAAGGCGAGCGAATCGATGAAGCTTCCAGCTGTCGACTCGAAAGCTGCCTTGAACACCTGTAATGTAGGTCTCTTCTTGGGGTCCTCGTCGACTGACCGGACAATGACGCCGAATATTTCTTCGGATCCGTAGATCTCGAGAGGGTAAAAACACGGTGCTCTCCTTATTCTTGAAGCGAGACGTAATCTATCAACTCCAGGCCAGTCTTGAAAAATTTGGAAAACAAGCATTCCCAAAAGGTAAATATCGCTCTTATACGTGTAAACAAGATCCGGGACGATATCGTGGTAGTTTTTAAAAGTGGAACGCTCCGTATAAAAATGAGCTAAGCCGAAGTCGGCGATCAGTATGTGTTCCAACTGAGTGTCTCTAAAAAGTAGATTTTGGGCCTTGATGTCTCGGTGCATTATGTTCTTGGAATGGAGATATTCGAGGCCTGAGCAGATTTGTAGAACAAGCGATTGCTTCCGACCGATAGAGAACTTCCCAAATCCGAGATGTCGACCCAAATCCCCTCCCCTAGCGTACTCCATAATGAGATAACGTCCGTTCTGACGATCTCCTATCCACTTCACAACGTTCGGATGATCACAAAGTTCTAGGAGGCGTGACTCTTCAGCCAGGAGAGACGGAGACCATTCGTGGGCTTCCTTCACAGCTACTTCCTCCCCATCGAGCGTGCCGAAATAAACGTTACCGTAGAGCCCGCAGCCGAGAAGGTACTGCTCGTGTATGATTAGCTCCATCCCCGAAGAGTCGATGGGTTTCGATGAAAAAATAGGTTCGATGACGATGACAACTATCTCATTCCGGGGGAGAGGTTGGGGTGTCTCTCATGGTCCAATACGATGGGTTCTAGTGCACGGCTCGGAGCGAGGACGACGAGACAGGGACCCCAGGATCTTCGGCACTGGCCAGGGGAGCGAAGGCGGTGAATCCGAACAGGAATCGAACAGTCGCTCAACCGTGCACCATTTCTTTGTGCGAACGTGCACCTGAGCTGGGCGCGAGGAATGAACCTTGACTCGGTGCGTTTGAAGGAAGCCTGAATTGAACCTAACAATTTCTCCATCGGTCGAGGAACCGTGATTGGATCACACATCCGTCGTTTCCCTATTAACAACCTCGATACCCCCACGAATCCGTGTGTCGTCCTGTTTCGTACACCTGAAAATGAGCATCCGACGTCGCGTCGGTTGGAGAGGTCAGATGCAACAGATCAGGATTCGGGCACCGCAGGCTATCTGCCAGAGCTTCACACTGAGAGTTCAGTTCAATACCGGAAGCGACGATGAAGTTCCTGAAGGAGTTTTTATTAATTTACCCCTTCATCGGATGTGCTTGTGGGAACTGTGGTTCAGATCTAGCTAGCTGTATGGTGGAGCCGAGACGACGCGACAGTCCAATGAGGGTATGACGATGGAAGGTGTACTAAGTTCTCAACAAATCCTTCGATAATAATCGTTTGATTATCCGGGGAAAACCGTGCGGTTCTCTCTCCGAAAATAAAACTCCTAACAATCCTCATTCGAGGAGTTCGCGCTCGGACTCTCATCCTTCAGAATCTGCGCCGCAGACCGTAACCCCATAGGTTCAATACCCCAAGAGCGCCTCCTCCTCGCAGTGATTGCGAGCTCTACAGCCGACGTCCTTCCGGCGTACGTCGCGCGAGGAGAGACCGCATTCCGCGCGATTGAATTGGGGAGCATTCCTGGGGCCGCGTGGATCATCTCTTCCGAGCCCCTGACGACAACCGCCATACGTGAGGAATCGCTCTTTCGGATCGAGCCGGCAACAGGTCGAGGAGGTCGGGAGCGACCCTCAGTGGGTCTCGCCCTCTCTCAGGAGGTAACGGAGGGAGGCAGAAAGAAGTGATCATGATCGCAGAGCATGATCGCCAATTAGCCGATTTTTTCAACATCATCGATCGAGTATAGAGTCGTCGATCATATTTCGCATCGAGGGGACATTATCCCATGAGCACGAACGGGCGCCCGGTGTCTACGGCGATGCGATTCGTCGCAGAATTTCATTTCGATCATGAAACGTTTCCGTGCAGAATAAAGAATCCCTAAGCAGAGCTCTGCTGCCAGCACGTCAGCGCTGCCTTCGCTTCCACAGTTTCACAGCGCAGAAGCCGACGCTCAGCGGCGACGACGACGACGACGACGACTCTACCACCACCAGACACACATATTCGAAAAAAGGGAGGAAGTCAACAACACGGTCGCCTGTCGTCTGCTCCCGAGTCTTTCTCGTGTTCAAAGATAGTCGAGTAATACTGCAAGAGAACTCCTTGTTGGAAGGCAATTCGATACGACTCGACATAACCAGTGATAATAAGAAGGGCTGTGGAGCTGCCGATTGAGGAAATACTGTTTACGCACACTAGGTCACAAGTTAAATCAGTCTATTCGACCCTCGATGGCCGCGGGCAATCAGCAAACCGGGGGAAGCAGGTAAGGGATGAGTTCCGAGGGCCACGCGAACGGTTACCGCTGCGAAATTGCCCTCAGTAACTTCTCCGTAGTTTCCTGACGCTCCCGGCAGGAGCGGTTCTATAGCGGCTTGACACCGACCCTCGAGGGCCACGTTACGAATGCCTGGCACTCTCGCGACGCGGCGTAGAAAAAAGAGAATTTAGCTGCGTGCGTACAGAAGGATGGCTCCCGGGGTAATTCAGAGCAACGAGCGCGCGGAAATCTCGGAAAATGAGCACATTCATTCGCAAAGTTCCTTGCTTAGGTTGGTGAATCCTTGGAAAGCAGAGCTCTACCGTAGTGCTTCCTTCCATCGGCTCCGGAAAACTGGTTCCGAATTCTACCCCAGAGTATCTTGCGCTTCTCTGTCATCTGACGACTCCTTCGACGGGTTGTTCAATTGCCCCCCTGATGTCCTCAGGACCGAATGTTTGATTGCGAGCAGAGAGCTTGGCTACGACCGTTCCTCCGGAGGTCTTCCCTTCACGCACATATGGTATGAGAGCATCTAAATGCCATTCGGAAGATCTCCTCTATTGTACACGAATGTTGCTCATCATTCCGAATGATGACGATCCGATTATGGTGATCAACTCGATCACTGTCATAGGGGAAAGCAGCGACGGAGTCACAATACAATGATTTTCTGTACCGGCAGCTCATTTTCTCGGTGGCGGCATCGCATGGTTTCCCACGTGCGTGGTTCCTACTACACAGCGATATTTAGTCGATATGCTCGAGAGACTGGAGGACCTGCGTCTGCCTATCCGTCAGGCGCCGGAATGACATATTCTTACCGGAGTTCATTGATTCAGTCTCTTTTTGTCCTGTATTGCAGAGGATTACATGCAGAAATGCACCTCCACACAGAAACACGCACCAGAGAGGAGGACCCCCTCAATATCGCTCAGTCTAATGGTTCGGTTTGGCACACCGGTGGTCACTCCGCCATAATTGGGGGTTTGAGTTTGAGTCAGAAGCCCATGAACTCCGGAAACGAAGGCGAAATACCTCGGATGGAGCTCATCGACGAGCAGATCCAGTCTATCGATCCCGACGCAGTGAGTCCATCTGAAAGTTATTCCTGCAGTCGTCGGCTGACGTTCTTAGTTTCGTCCGGAGGAGTCGGAGAGGCATCAGCCTGAGGCTTATTTTCGCTTCGGCATTGCGAACTAACGGAGCTCCTCTTGCAGCTCGACGTCGGTCCCGACGAGCACGAGCTACAATATGCTTACACAATGTGGTTTTCTCGGAGATCGGGATCGAAGCAGGCCGGTACTGTGTTCAAATTCGAGGACTCCTTACGGATCCTCGCGACGTTCAGATCCGCGGAGCGCTTCTGGAAGTTTTACACTCATCTGAAATTTCCAAACGAGCTCAGCGGTCATTGTGACTACCATTTATTTAAACACGGCATCAAGCCAATGTGGGAGGTAAGTTCAAAGCGGTTGGACCTGATGGGATGCGATATCGAAGGCTTGCTGGGAGTGTCGCGTCGGTCGTTCAATGGATAATCTCGATACGTTTCCGTGAATCCGCAGGACCCCGCCAATCGAGAAGGGGGTAAATGGATAGTGCGTTTGCGGAAAGGTGTTGCATCGAGAGTTTGGGAGAACGTGATTCTGGCAATCCTGGGCGAACAGTTTCTAGTCGGAGATGAAATTTGTGGAGCAGTCATGTCGATAAGGTAGGAACGAAGTGAAAATTCATCCACTGCGAGAATCGTGGGGATCCCTTCAACGATCGCTGAGCTCTGACATTTATCTCTGCAGATACAATCAGGAAGACATCATCTCGGTATGGAACCGGACTGCGGACGACAAGGGCACTCGGATGAAAATAATGGAGACTTTGCGGAGGGTCGCTAATCTTCCGCAGAACTACTCACTCGAATACAAAAGACACAACAGATCGCTCCAAGACAAGAGCTCGTTTCGAAACGCGGACGAAACCGTTTTCAGATGAGACTCCGCTGCCGACTGCTGTACTATCGAGCCAATGTATGATGATCCTCAGATTCGCAGAAACGAACTAACTCTGTTGAAATCGAAAGCAACCTAGGCGGCTGCTTGACGTGCTGCTGAAATGTTGTGCAAACTGTGTATATTTTAAGACGTAGAGCTACCAGACTCAGGAAACTGACGAGAAGGCTTAGAATAAAATGGCAATGTTGAGCGTGTCGTGTTTTCGTCGTGAATTCTGTGGCTATTCGTTTCCCTGCTTACGGCAGCAAAACTCTCCCTTCACGATTGGCGCTGTTGTTAATCTAGGTAAATTGGATCAATGGCGAAAGCCATGATGCCGAAAGCTGCCTGTGCCCATATTGGTGTTTCCGGGAGGGAACGGTACCGAAACGTGATTCGAAATATTCCTCCGACCAATAGGGATGCTCGCCCGAAGAGACCTTGGTCATCGAGAGGCCTAAGACTTGATGCTCTCAATCTATTGGAGTCATAACGATATATCTTGACGCAACACCATTATCAATGAAACATATCGGAGAGGAGTTGCTAGGCGACATTTTCGTCGACCTCGCGGCGGGTCGCGGATTCGTTACCCCAAATTCGTAGGGGAGTGAATGATCGAGCCAAGTGGAACGATTCCCGAAGACTCCACGAGAATTATACAACTTCAGCTTCGTGCTCACTATCCAAGTTAATCACCCATGCATAACACAAAGTGTCGGGATTCCGCTTCAAACAAATGCACACGATTTTCACGGAACTGCCTCTCACTTGATATTATTCCTCTGCTTCCGAATAATTACATGGATGTATCTATCCGATACCAACCGGGGCTCGTCGACGAGCCCAATCGATGGGCATGCTAGTCCACTACCTGGGCCTTGACCACATGGTCGATTCCTCCGGAATCTTCACAAGTCGATATGAGGCTACAGTCACACAACAAAGTCAAATGGGGCTCACCGCCAATCAATCGAGCCGGCTCACGGAAAATCAACCGCGAGATCAAGGAGGTCCGTAGATGTCGACAATTCGAAGTCGCCACAGGTCAACTCCATCCCAATTCTATGCATCGTGGCACTGACTAAATTTGTGGTCATGTGCTCCGTTCCCGGTCGGTCACAATCTGCCTCGGTCATAGCGTACATAGAAGGATAAAATGATGCGGAATGAAGATGTAGGAGCTTAGAAAACTTTGGTGTACAGCCGCCCTATAGTCTGATCGGTCGTGGGCTATTCTCGTCCTGGACAACCCCACGCTTTTTCGCTTGGTTCTGATGAGCGACATGGCGCAGGCGGCTTTTCGCAGATGGGGTATGCTTGACTTCGATCTCTTTGCCACCAGCCCGCGAATCTCCGGTTACATTGACATTGGGTGAGCGCACACCGAGAGGCGTCACTGCTTTCGGCGCCTTAGCTTTCAGAGGGGTCGAGGGAGGCGTCGGGGCTTCTTCGGCTACTGCTTTCGAAGCGACTGGGGTCTGGTTTTGTTTTAGCTGTTCCTGTAGGGCCTGTTCCAGCTCAGCGAAGTCGAATTTCATCGGAGTCAGCACCGGTGTTCTCTTGAAACACTCGGCAGGCGATCTCGGATCAACGAGTTGAGTGATCTTCGAAGTCGGTGTCTGAAGCGCTTGCATCGGAGTCACGTCAACCTGGTGGGAAATGGGAACTCTCGAAATCGATTTCATCGGAGATCGGAATCGGACTCAGAGAATGCAGAATCGCAGCTGTCGCCGAGCCGCCTGAGTGGAGGGCGGAATAAATGCTCCGAGGTGTCAGGCAAGGCTTGCATGGAATCCAATTAGGGATCGCCTAAATTACCCCGGTTGGATCTGAGTGAGTTCCAGAAAATAACGACTCACCATAATCGGCGTTCGGGTGATTCCTTCCGTTGGGGATCGAGGATCGAAGAAGAGAGGTCGCCTGTTCTGCTGTGGAGTGTCATCTTTTTTGCTAGAATTCGCACCCATATTATTTACGAGAAAAGAACGTCGGGCTAAAGCGGACAGAAAGCGATATCCAGACAGATATTTTCCCCGAATATTCTGGTTGCGACCGTAGTCTCTGCGCCGCCTTTCTCATTCAAAAGGGATGACTTCAGTGGCTCACAGACCCGGCTCCTGGATTTCACATTCAAACACTGGCGCGAAACATAAGGCGGTGAGTCGAATGAGCCCGGTCACGCGTCACGCGACTACGCTCGGGATCCTAGTGGGTCATTCTCAGCGCCTTCATCGACGAATCATAGATGTCAGCGAGGACTGATACTGTACTTCCAGGATATCCGCCGTGGAAGTCAAAGGAGACGACGCGGGCGGGATCCGACCAGGCTCGCAAACATGCATGATAATCCCGGCAAAAGGTGAATTTTGACTTTTCATCAAGTCTTCCGAGCTCCTTCAGGAGTCCGGGAGACGAGCATCCGGGGAACCGGATGAAGAGGAACTTTTCTCTCGATGCACGATGCTCCGCATCCGTACTCATAAAGCATTCGTTCGTATGCAAGAGCCATGATCTATCGAGTCACATGTTCGTCGCGGAGGCAACACAGCAGCTTATGCTCTACGCCCTCTCCACTAGATGAGGAGAGATTGTATACAGAGACTTGGATTCTAAAAATTGGAGAGGAAAAAGAGACGGCACAAAGGTCTGTCGGGGAGTCGATGTATGTGTGTTGGAATCGCAATCCGATCGGATCGCATTTAGCTCTGTATCGATTTTTCGGCACCGAAGGACCTTCTGGATCCAGGAGTAGCATCATCTTACCAAAACTTTGGCATAAAGCCGGGTGAGGTTTCGTGGAGACAAAAAATCGCGACTCTGCGCGGATTTCTATCCTACCTCTCGATAGCGGACCTCAGTCGATCTCTAGGTAGAGAGCAATCTTGGCCGAATGTGCCTTGCAGTGACCCGCCAGCCTGGCCAAACTCCCGCGAAATTCATTTCTTTCACTAACTTGATTGTATTGTATATAGGCGTTTGCCTGCAAGCCGTGGGCCGCATATCACAAGTTTGGAGACAGCAGATATCTTTTGATTCCAGACATCAACGGGGTCGAGGGGAGATGCTCGGGTTGATTTGAAACGCACATGCCGGGCTTCGACTAGGAGTCTACGGCTTGCACGTGATGAAGATACAAGGCGAGGAGAGATTGAGGTCAGGCCTCGAGATATTTCATTCATCAATTGGAAGGCGAGACATGCCAAACGGAAAGTATATAGATGTTTGAGCGAGAACACTGGTGAGCAAGGAGGGAGACCGAATACGGCACGGAGGGAGTTATTCTGAGCGACCTGAGCCGTCTTGAGCAATAAAGATGAGGCTCCGGAGTGCCATACTGTGATGCAATACGAGATGAGGTTATCTATGAAGGAAGAAAAGACTCGCAACATATGTCGCCTTGGGAAGCCCAGCCGGCGAACACATAGGAAGAGATCTTTTTTTAAGCGCGAGACATGGGGTTGCCAGTCAAGGGAGCCATCGAGCTCAACTCCAAGGCAAGGGGCCGAGACGGAGACGGAGACTTCGAGCGGAACGTCATTGAGGGTCAGGGAGCCGTCCGGGAAGATCTCATGGTATCGGTTTCTTCGTAAAACGACAAGATGGGTCTCATTGATATGGAGACTGAGTTTAAGGGCGCAGAATATAAAGAAGATCACGGAAAGAAAGGAGTTGAAGAGGGTTATGTCTTCGTCAAGACATTCGCGTCTGAGACGAAACAAAACAGATGTATCATCCGCAAATGAGACAAATTCGACGCGGACGATTCTGATGGGCTGCTCGTATCCGTGAGTGGAGCCTGGGAATCTGATTCTAGATCCAGGAGATGGGATTGGAGATACTGCCGCAGGGGGGAGCTACCTAGATACCTAGCCACCTAGATGAATTCTATTACACCAGGGGATGCTTCGTGATACTGCGTAATCCCGTGTGATGCGGCATGTCTGAAAATCCGAGCCGAAAAAATGTGGAGGGGACCGCCTGATCACTGTCAAATATTCAGCAAAGATCATTAGTCTCATCGCGTACCCTCCCCCATGGTGAGGTTCGATTTTTGTGTTTTTTTACGCCGCGTTTTTCTTGTACGCACCTCCCATAGACTTAACATACGTACAATTGTACGCTATCCTCAGCATACGTACAAGCGTACAAAAGTACGCCGTACAAAGCGTACGGGCGTACAAACCGAAGACGCCATATTGAGGGCGGCCGGCGGTAGTTTCCATCCGAGCAGCGCCGTCTTAGTGGCGCCATTTTCTCCCAAGTTTCTCCAGATACGCGCCTCGAGCTCTCACTTGCTTGCGGTTGTGATCTAAGACAGAGGTCCCCAAACGGGGTTCCGCGGAACCCTTGGGTTCCGTAGCGGGGTGCGCGAAACCCCAAAGTCTACCTACGGAACCCCTGCGGAACCCCTAGGGGTTCCGCAGAGGAAAAAGTTTGGGAACCACTGATCTAAGAAATACTTGAGCTAGCATCACGTGCAATGAATCTCACCACGTGAGATGGATAACGGTCTCGTTGTTCCGGGAATTCGAAGCGACAGGTTCGAATCCATAGAGGGCCTGCGTCTGATCATGGATGCGATACAGAATACAGACAGCTTTCGGTGAGTAAATGAAGAAACCTTTCTTTGCCCGATGGAGAGAATAGGACATCCTGCTTCCTTCCGTCCGTCTATCCATCGGTCGATTCGTCCGTCGGCACCGAATGTCGGTCCGGCCGAGCGCCTAGTCAGCCGGATGCTCAGACCTATTGTATTCGAATTCGAGATCTATTGTAGCAGTATAAAATCACTCGAATTAGGAGCTTTGCCGAGGATCAAACCCCTTTCGAATTCTGCGGCCGAGAAATGGACAACGGCCTTGTCGTGCCAGGAGTCACGAGTGACCGGTTCGAAACCATTGAGGGTCTGCGAGGTATCATGGGTGCGATACAGTCGATTTTCGGTGAGTAAATGGAGAAACCTTTCTTTGCGTCGGTACGGCGTATGTAGGTCACGATATCAGCAAACCTTGACTACAATATAATGACATTGGAGCTCCAGGCAAACAGCTGGGAGGAATGTACTACATAGTGATAGAAAGAAGGCGCTCCGAGAAAGTTGGTGCCCGATGGAGAGAATAGGACATCCTGCTTCCTTCCGTCCGTCAATCCATCGGTCGATGCGTCCGTCGGCACCGAATGTCGGTCCGGCCGAGCGCCTAGTCAGTCGGATGCTCAGACCTATTGTGTTCGAATTTGAGATCGCGTCGACCTGCACGACATTTTTTGAATCACAGCTTAGCCGCTGGTGCCGTTCACATCGACCTCATAGCGCCGATGCAGAGTGAATAGTTTTTTATGATAGGTTCACTTATTGGTTCGATTGGCCTATGGGAGCGAGGGAACAAGGAGAAGGACCCGAAGAGCGGGCAGTTTCATCTAAATGTAAGACGCAAGTTCAACCAGCAGAGAATCAAGAAGAGCGTCGAGCTACCACCAGAAGCGGTCGAGCAGTGAAACCCCCGGACAGATCCGGAGCCTAACAGCTGGCACTCTTTCGTGCAAACCTTGTAAAAAAAAAAATTGTGTAAAATAATAGGCAGTCAATAATTGTCGGTGCAGGACAAGTGGGCCAAAACCAGCTGGGCCAAAATCCAAGTGGGCCAAAACTAAGTGGGCCAACGAACCAACTGGGCCAAAACCAACTGGGCCAAAAATCGGTTTGCCCAGGGATGATTGCCGAGTGCCCCAACATGGGTAAAATAGGAGAATTTTGAGAATTTTGACATGTGGTCGGTTTATCAGAGGACGCTAGATGGCGAAGCGCGTACCAATAATTACGCCGAGGCCGCCCATCGCCGACTCCAAGTTGAATTCGGGATCCAGCATCCGACCATCTGGAAATTCATTGATGCGCTCAGGAAAGTCCAGAGAGGTCGCGACCTCCAAGTAGAATCATTTGTGGCCGGCGCGTCGAATGCCAAGAAAAGGAACAAATACATTAGAGCAGACGAGCGGATCCTGGGAGTCGTACACCGAGCCGGGCATCTTCAGCATGTCGAATACCTCCGTGGTATAGCTCATAATTTCCTCATGGAGGCGTAGTTTCCGCTTCTGATGAGGGAAAGTATCAACAGGGTCCGTTGATACTTTAAGATATACGTTGTTAACTCTGAAGTCCATATAAATGCATGCGCATCGCGGGAAGCTCGGAAGAATCGGGATAAGGAACCGAGGAGTAA